CCGTGGTGGCAGGTGGCGGCCGTTTCCCGGGGGACAGCTCTGCCCTGAATGGGACTATTTCATCGATAGGTGAGGACCCCCCCCCACTTTCGGACCAGGCACCCCCCACCTGGCAGGTGTCCACCCCGCCTTGGGGCAGCCCAGCACACAGCATCTTCTCGGTGACCTGCCCGTGGTAGGCAGCCAGGTTGCAGCTCTCCTTGTCGACAAGTTTCACCTCCGCCTGCTGCAGGGTCTCCGACAGCTTGCCTGTGCGAAACGCAGCTGCTCAGAGGGGTCCCCAGCAGTCCCGGGGGAGCAGGGAGCCCCCCAGCCCTGTCTGCTCCTGCTAGTGGTGCTGGGGGTCTCTGCCCGCGCCCGGGGGCAGCCCCGCAGCGCAGACAGGCACAGCGCTGGTCCGGCGCTGTCCCGCTCACCGTGCTCCTGTGTGTAGCCCCAGCCTACCACCCACAGGGACGTGCCCGGCACCAGCTCCTCGTCGAAATAGGGCAGGCAGATGGGCTTGCTGCTGTCTGGGAGGGAGAGGTGAGGCACGGGAGGTGTCTGGGGAGGTTCGCAGGGAAGGTGCCCCTGCCCGGGGCCACATGCCAGCCGGGCTCCTTGCTGCGCTGTCAGTGAGGCACCGCTCACACGTGGCCCTCTCCACACCTCTGCTCGGTGCCCGCTGAGCGTTGCCACGAGGGGCATGGGTCCCCCAACCCGCTCGGGACCCTTGCTCCAAGGAGGTGTGTGCCACGTCTCACCTGAGACACGCAGGGGAGACTGCAGCTTCACCAGGGCAATGTCGTTGTCCCTGGGAGACGCGGGCGTCACCGCAGCCAGGAAGACCTTCTCCACAGCGAGGGTGGCAGTGCCCGAGAGGAGGTTGGAGCCGGCCTTCACACCCCAGCTCTGGATGATGGGGTTGTTCCTGTGCACAGACAAGTCCCCCCCCCCTTCCCCCCGCCATGACTCCGCTGTGGGGACAAGCAGCAAAGCCCTGCCTACACGCTGCCCCGCTCAGCATCGGCCAGCTGTGCTGGCCCGAGGGGCACACAGCCCTGCGCAGATGTGTTAATTATGGCACCTTTAAGCAACACGTGGCTTAAACCCAGAGGGCCTCAGCCTGGCCTCGAGGAGCCGACGCAGCCCTGGCACGCGGTGCTCGC